TTGGGGGGGGGGGGGGGGGGTAGATCAGTTAGCAAACCTGCACCCTCAGCATTTCCACAACCCCCCAACCCCCATTGGTATAAACACAAAAGGACCATCAGATTGCAGACCTGGACACCTTCAGCTTTCCTCCTACTACAGAACTGCACCACCAACACTTTCTGGATCACAACAACAATTAATCTGGGACCGCCAAAACCTTAATTTCTCTTAAAGTTAATGGACAAGTGGAGAGCTCAGAATTATTCAAGGAATCCAACTGTGCAGATCTACAAGGAGGTCAGACCTAAAAGGGACAGTAGGGTTGAACGTACTACAATTTGGACAGAAGCATGCACATTAGAGGCTTATGTAGCTTATGCTATCCTGCGTTTGAAACACATTCAACACGTGTGTTTTCCCCATTTACTTCAACAGCATATTCCAAATGACCATTCTTAGGCTGCATTTGACTTGAGTTGTTTCCTCAGACACAGCAGGTCCTATCGAGATCTGTTGGCAGCAGCACTGCGTTCAAAGCATTCACTAACAACGTCCGTCTACACGCGCCTCAAGGGTGTTGGACCATGTATATAACTGTATGGAGGAGGGGAGTACATGCCACTGCAGACTTATTATTATGGAAGAAATAAAAGAGAATGCAGCAGGTTCACAAGTCTATACAATTGACCCCCACTTTTATATGCAAGCTAGTGATTAACTCTGCTGCTGCCACAGGCATAAAAAAGGGTCACCCAATCTGGCTCAGCATACAACGAAAAAGTAATCACTATTTCCAAAAGGGGGAAAAAAATCTGCATGGCTGCATCAATAAAAGCCCTCTAGCAGCTCATAAACCACAGGCCCCGGCCCCCAGCATGCCTAACCATTAGGCAGGCTCAAGTTTGTCCAACCCTGCCCCATGACCATTGACTAATAGTAACATCCAGTCATCCACAGAAACCATAACCCATTCTGATTAAAAACAGAGGGACAGAAATATTAATCGCCACAGGTTACTGCAGTCTATGCTTTTATGGCACTGTCTTGATAAATAAGCCTAATATTAACGTATAAAAAGTCTTATAAACTGCTACCCCATATACCAATGAGCAAAAAAGTCATTAAACAGTTTTAATGAGAGAAAAAAAAAAAATGTCCCAAACATGAGAGCGGGCATCAGCAAAATTCAGATCTCATTAGCTGCTGACTTACAATTTGAACCCTCCAAAACACGTCTCTAAAGCCTGAATCCAACCACAACATATTATATAATCTATAGATGAAGCCTCCTTGGAGTTCGCTTTGCTTCCTATCATCACACTAGGTCACCCAGCTCTAGGGTTGGCTGTGCAAAGCGCACTGCCTGAATCTTTGGGACATTATTACAATTTGCACCCTCCAAAACAAGTCTCTAAAGTCTGAACCCGACCAACCACAATGCATATATAAATCTATAGATGAAGCCTCCTTGGGGTTTGTTTTGCTTCTCATCATTACACTGGGTCACCCAGAGCTCTAGGGTTGCTTGTGCAAAGCTCAATGCACTGCCTGAATCTTTCAGACATTATTGCATCAGACAGATCTAATTCAGGGGACCAGAGCCATTTACCTCCCCCCCTTCCCTGACCACAACAGTAAAGTTTCACCACACACCCACAACATGCTTTTACTATAGGATATCCTCTTTTATTGACCAATCATTCATTTTTATTTCAGATCATTAAAAAAAAAAAAATTAGATAAAAGCGCCAAAACTTCACAGTCTTAGCAAACATTTAGCACAGCCTTCAAGCTTTTTTTTAACATTGAGGAACCCCTAAAACAACTTATTGGTCCCAGGGAACTCCTGCGCTTATAATTACAATGTTAGCTTAGAGACTCAAGGAACCCTCTACCAACCTCTGAAGGAATGCCAGGGTTCCAGGGAACTCTGGTTGTGAAAGGCTGGTATGGTTATATAAAATACAGTGTTGGAACGAATAGCAATTTTACAAACCTAAAAACAGAGGTTTATGTATGTAAAGCGAATACTACATCAAGCCAATCAGTGTGCAGCATTTTAAAAAAACAATAAAAGGTGTTTTGCCCTCCACTGACCAAAGCCAATGTCCTGACCAGGTCCCGGCACCCCTGAAATCTGCAGAGGGTCCCCCTGAAGTAGACAGGTGCAGGGAATCTGGAGTCTAAGAAAAAGTGCATCAACTTTTATATTAACTTTTTTTTGGGGGGGGTGGGCAAGCTATAAGGATCGCCTTTAATTCAGGAAATGTTTTATTTACACTTGAAATTGTTTTGTGTTATTAAACACCAACAGCTGTGTCCGGAAACTTGCAACAAAAAGGTATAAAACATACAAGTGTTTATTTGTAAACTTGTATCCCTTTCCTTTCCCCAATCTAAGGCAATGCCTCTCTCTCTGGTGTTGGGAGATGATGCAAGAATGAACCCCCCCAGCACAGAACAGACAGGGTCCAGATTCTTACCTCCAGGATGTCCTCCAGGTCTTGCAGGGTCAGGCAGGTGTACTTGTGTAAGATCTTGATCTTGCTCTCATCAAAGTCCTTGGTGGCTTGCTTCCAATTGGGCTCCTCCAGCACCTGGAATATGGCTGCCCCTATGGACAGGTAGAAGATGATGGCAGAGGTGAGGAGGGGACCCCTATCCACCATGGTGCCAGCTGGAAGCCCCGGTGCTGCAGCCCCCTCTCTCTGTCCCTGCACAGATGTTTGAATTCAGTGCGGGCTCTGCGCATGCGCGGCTTAACTTTTGCTCAACTTTCACAAGTTTTTTTTTTCTCTTCCTTTCAGAGCTGTCTGTGTGTGTGTCCGGGGCTGTGACCCTGCATGGGCACCCCTGCACTGCCCAGCCCTGCTAACCCTCCCCTGCCAAGCATTGATCTCTCTGGCTGGGTCCCCCTGGAGCCTGTATGGAGCAGACACGTGTCTTGCGGAGCTCTGACTCTCTGACTCACCGGGCTTCATATTTGTAGTCAGAGACAGAGAGGAGCAGGGAGGAGAAAGGGCCAGGGACCCGCCCCAGGCACAATCACATCGATACACCCGGGGAATCAAGTGCTGCCAGCCTTCCCTCCTCTTCCTGCTGCTGCTGTCACAAAGTAACTTCTCAAAGTTTGCAAACAAGTCGGAGAACTGGGCATTGTGAGCGCAAGGTGGCAGAGGGAGGCTTGGCAGGAGCTGGGGTGGCACCGGGGCTCTGGGTGGGTTTATTTCAGCAGGAGCCGCTAATTGAGAAGAAAATAAAGTTAGAAAAGATTCAGGACTGTCAGTGAGCAGGTGAGGCTGGTGTGGAACTACTGTGGAACAAGCATGCTTCTTGAGACTGTCCTTCTTTGTGACTACTCAGTCCCTCTTTCCTACTCAGCTGCCCTTTTTTTTATATAGACCTCATGTGTTTCAACATCCTTTTTCAACCAGTGTTCCATGGAAGCTTGGGGTTCCTCCAGAGAGTTCTTGGGGGTTCCTTACAGTGACATTAAACTTTGAATTCTTAAAAATGCACCTTATTTGTGTATCACTGGGCTGTAGATCCTCATATCATTCTGAATTCAGAGTGTACCCTTCCTTCCCTTGCTCCATATAACAAACTTATCTTCAGCAATAACCATGAAATAAAGAAAATGAAAATTGTATTGACCTCTTAGTTCTGTGGGCTCAGTCTGCCACTACTCTCTCCTGACACTAAACTCTGGAGTTAAATACATTCAAGGACCTTAAAGTGACATTAATAAAAAAAAAAAAAGCCCCTCAGTCCTGCGGTAGGGACTTACCTTAAGTGATGACTCTTGATCCGATCATCTTCTTCATTCCAGTAGTTTGCAGCAGTCCCTCTAGCGCTGGTGCCAGCCACTGATCCAGTGCAGACTCCTCGGGTCCCACAGTGTCTGTCCGGCATGCACACTCAAAGCTGCATGCATTGACTTCTATTGAGTCTCTCCTCTTCTCCCCGCTGGTAATCTCCACTACGCATGCGCCCCCCCAGATCTTCCTGCGTGATCTCTCCACTGCACATGCGCCCACCCAGATCTTCCTGCGTGATCTCTACTGCGCACGCACCTGCCGAGATCTTCCTGCGCGATCTCCACTGCGTATGTGCCACCCAGATCTTCCTGCATGATCTCCACTGCGCATGTGCCCACCCAGATCTTCCTGCGTGATCTCCACTGCCCATGCACCCGCCCAGACCTTCCTGCGTGATCTCTATTGCGCATGCACCTGCCCAGATCTTCCTGCGTGACCTCCACTGCGCATGCACCCGCCTAGATCTTCCTGCATGGCAGTTTAGGGAAGCTGGATGCTGCAGACCAGTGACAGAGGTAAGTATTTACCTATTTGGAAACTTTCTAATTTTTTTAATGTGTTTGCATTTATCTACTGCTAGCTGGCAGCTTTGTAAAAAAATAAGACCTTAATTCTACTTTAACTATTAACAAAAATGTCTTTTATTTGTGTATCACTCGGTTGTAGATCCTCAAATCATCTCTGAATTGGTGCTGACACTGTCCTTCCTTCTGGAGGGGGGCTACTTTTGTCCCCCATGGTCCCTGTGTGTGTTGTAAAGTAGTCACCGCTCCAAGCTCACTCCCGTGATGGACTAAATTCTCATGTTTAGTTTACTAATTTGTATTGAGATTGTAGTCCATCACAGGAGCGAGCTTGGAGCGGTGACTACTTTTACAACACACACAGGGACCATGGGGGACAAAAGTAGCCCCCCTCCAGAAGGAAGGACAGTGTCAGCGCCAACTCAGAGATGATTTGAGGATCTACAGCCGAGCGATACATAAATAAGATACATTGTTGTTAGTAGTTCAGGTACTTGAATGCAATTTTTAAGATGTAGCTCTTGAGTTTAGTGTCACTTTACCCAGTTGACATCCGCGGTGTTAAACCCCCTTCCCATCCAGGCCATTTTTCAGTATTCAGCGCTGCGGTACTATATTAAACGAAGGGGGGGGGGACTTAAGGGGAGAGCAGTGGCAGATCGATCTCTCGCCCACAGAAGTAGTTGGAAGTCTATACAGTTTTCAATTTGTTTCATTTCATGGTTATTGCTGGTAAAAATTGTAATTATTAGGAGTTCCCTAAGATCTATAAAAAAAATCAGTGTGTTCCTTTCTGGTATAAAGGTTTGAAAAGGCTGATTTAAGGAAGAATTAATGGTAAAACCTGTATTAACCCTTTCAGTGGGGTTTCAGGGTTAACTGTTTGTTCTTGCCTAAGGGTCAAAAATAACAAAGTTATGCTCACCCGATCCTCCGAGCTGGCCAGCTGGGACAATGCTCCCTCCTGCCTCTCTGCTGCAGCAACGGTATGTCCCTCAGCATCTTTACGTCCTATATGTACATCCTGTATATGCAACATGAGGACTTTAGACCAGTGCAGCAAATGGGCAAGGAGGCTCTAGGACCAGTCTAAAAAGGAGCTGGCTCAGAGGATTGGGTGAGTATAACATGTTTTTTTACCCTAGGCAAAGAGGAGAGCTTAATTCTTGCAGTGCGGGGGTAGCCCCACTGCAAGGTTTAATACAATATATGCCCAGAGTTCTTTTAAACATTAATGGTAAAAAAAGAGATAGAAAAAAGTGAGCAGAAAGCTAAAAGCTAAGGGGAGAAGGGAAGGAAGCAGGTAATAGAGGCTGATCAGGGTTAACTAAGAGTTAATAAAGAATTAAATAGGAATATTTTTGTTTTGTTTTTTTACTTGGAAAGTTTCAGGGCTCATATGCAGATTAAAGGTCACACAGTCACACCTTTGATCTACATATAAATAAAATAGTGAATACAATGAAGCAATACATTGTTACATTGTATTTACCCAATGACACTTGCAGACTATCTGCAAGCGTAATTTTACATCGGAGCAGCTGCATTTTGACAGCCGATCCTGCTGGGTATTACAAAGGGGTTATTCACAAAGCTGCCATAGGCAGCCGAATGAATAACCCAACCGAAGTGAAGTGAGCCAAACAACGTTCGGCTATTCACTTCGGCTCAGTACGGCTGATTTCAACCGTACATTGGCTGAAAACAGCCGTACTTTGGCTGCACTTTGGCCAGCTGAACATGCTCTGCATTTGGCTCGGCTATTCTGCTCGGTACCTCCATGGTACCGAGCAGAATAGAAAATCAATGAAACAAGTTAAAAAAAAATAAAGTTGAAAAAAGATTTTTACAATGTAAATAAATAGTTAAATTTGAAAAAAAATTAAGATTTAAAAAAGAAGAAAAAACTATAATTAAGAAGCAATAAAAAAAAAATTGGGCGGAGCTAGAAGTGACGTCACCCCAGCTGTCATTTGCGGGGCTGCCCAGTTGTTATTGTTTAATGACACTTCAGCATCGCCAGGTCATTTGGGGACACTGATCTGTCATTACAATTGGGCGGAGCCAGTCGTGAGATCACCCCAGCTGTCATTTGCGGGGCAAAAGTCCGTCCTTCAGCAGGTCGTTCGCGCCGATGCGGCTGACACTTTGGCTCATACAAGCCGAAGCAAATGTCTTCGGTTCAGCCACCTTTGGCGGCTGTAGGGGCTCTTGTGAATAGCCCGTACAGCAGCCCTTCGGTTCCACTGAACCAAAGGGATCCGGCGGCCGAAGAGAGCCGAAGGATCAGCCGAAGCTACTGAGTTATTACATGTGTTTCTGAGGGCAGCCAATCCATATGAAAATGGTGCTGAATGTGCTTCAACAAACAAAAACGTTGCACCTTTGTTTTTTTTTCAAAGCAGTGCACTGCATCACACAAAGCATTTACATTTGCATGTTATGGCGCACTATTTTTGTATTGTATACAGGTGAAGCTCGAATAATTAGAATATGGTGCAAAGTTCATTTATTTCACTAATGCAACTTAAAAGGTGAAACTAATATATGAGAGAGACTCACTACATGCAAAGCAAGATAATTCAAGCCGTGATTTGTCATAATTGTGATGATTATGGCTTACAGCTCATGAAAACCCCAAGAACCCCAAATCCACAACCTCAAACAAGTAGATTATTACATGCAATCAATAAAAAAGGATTGTACGTAGAACAATATCGGACCTCTGAAAAGTACAAGCATGCATATGTACTCAGTACTTGGTTTGGGCCCCTTTTGCAGCACTTACTGCAATTATTTTTGCACGATATTCTAATTATTCGAGTTTCACCTGTATATGCTTTAAGGTGCCATTAAGATTGAATGGCAACATACAATGGCAGCAGGGCATTACCATGCATTGTGGTAACGTGGTTCTTGCACGCAAAACTATAATGCATGCACAGTAGCGTAGTGGTTAGCGCTTCTGCATTGTAGTGCTGGGAGTCCCTGGTTCAAATCCTCAAATCTATAAGGAGTTTGCATGTTCTCCCTCAGCTTGCGTGGGTTTCCTCCAGTGACGTGCGGTACCTCTTGCAAAAAGCTGTCAGCTTCAGACATGAAGCTGACAGCTTCTTCCTCCATAATTCTAGGTGAGGCTCTGCCTCACCTGCCTCCCCTGACCGCACGTCCCTGTTTTCCTCTGGGTTCTCTGGTTTCCTCCCACACTCCAAAGACATGCTGGTAGATTCATTGGCTTCTGTCTGAATTGGCCCTCATATGTATGCATGTGACATAGGGACATAGAGTGTAATCTCCTTGAGGGCAGGGACTGAAGTGAATGTGCGCTGAATAAATTGTCAGTGCTATATAAATACCAATAATAATTA